CAGGGAATGATCATTAATCACAAGGTAGACCAAGTTGGAATAAGAGCTTACGAGGATTCAGCTCACCACAAACCCAAGTTTTGCATCCTCAAAATAGTTATAACCTAAGGAAAGGAAGATGAGTTTATCTATTCCACTACACTATCGACTCAGAGTCCTTAAGGTTTGTACCAAAGAAAGAACTGGGGACCTTCATTCAGGCATTGAACAGGAATAGGTCCCTAATAGGTCTCAAGTAACTTAAGAGATACTTAAGACATAAACATGAACAATATGGTCCCCACCCTCATGGAGCTTACAATCTAATGGACTTACTTCATATGACTAAGAAGCGCTACCGTCACCATCATAGAGAATGATTGGAAGGGAAGAACAACAGTTAGACCAGAAAGTCCAGGTAGATATTGCCTTGTTTGAATGAGTGTAGTAATAGAAAAACTGGTACCTGGACTCCATGACCAATATCACAGCATCAGAGGAAGGCAGGAAGGGAAAAGCACCAAGTGGACACAGAGGAAGAATTTTCCTTTGGTAATGATCTGTATGTAGCATAATTTCCAAAAGAGAATATCTGCAAAACTTTGGCATCCTAAACAGAGTCCAAGGCATTATTAGAGCAAAAAAAAAAAAAAGTGTTTCTGAAAGAATGGTGCACTGACAACCTGGGTCAGAATTATTTTTGGTATTTTAAAGAAAGTAAACAAGAATTTTAAGGCTGAAACAAGGAAATTGCCTTTTAACAAGATCCTGCATAATTTTTATGCTAAATTCAAGTAACCAGAGCAATGGAAAATGGGAAAAAAATAAAACATTTAAATCAGTATTAAGGCAGTTGATATTGCTAAGACAAATTGATGTTGGTTATACAAAAAAATCTCTATATACTTAAAATTGTTCCAGAGAATAAAATATCTGGAGAGTTTTTCAGTCTGTATTTGAAGATATTAGAATAATCTAAAGGTAATAGCACATCAATCGTAGTTATGAGCATAGAAGAAAAGCTCCTAAAATATAGGAAAATGAATCCAGCAGTAAATTACATGGATAGTTCACTATTACAAAAACAACTTATTCCACAACTGAAAAAAATAATTGCCTAATAGAAAAACTATTAAAATAATTTACCAAATCAATAAATCAAGAGAAAAACAAAAATGTACCATCAACTAATAGATTCAAGACAGGTTTTTTTTAACATCAACATTCATTCATTCCTGTTATGAGTTTTAGTAAAACATAAGTATTTATTGCAATCTCATGGTCAACAATATAATTACTGCTATAGCACTAGAAGCCTTCTAAGAATGCACACCATGGGTATTTGATTATTTTTTTTTCATCAAAAAGTTCTAGTCAACGTAATAAGACAAGAACAATAAAATGGGAATACAAATATTGGAGATTTCCAGATGACATGATTGTCTGCCTAGAAAACTTAGAAAATAAACCTGAAAAATATCACTACCTATGAGAGAGTTCAACATGGTAGTCAGTTACAGTATCAAAAACAAAAGTTAAAGGTTGGAACAAAACACTTTTAGAATAGCAAACAATATAATAGGATCTGCCCAAATAAAACATTGTTGACCAACATAAAAATAATGTTATTAACCAATGGTAACATATGTCAGTAAGAACAGATATGGCCTAATAAGGATTGCAACTCCACTTTATTTTTTATTAAATACACCCATTTCCACTATTATGTTAGGATAAATGTGACAAAATGATCTTAATTTTATTTTGAGTATAAACATGTGGAAAAATCACATTTTAAGGATTGATGAGGGCAGATTTGCCCTGGTGTATTGTTCAAAACCATAGTTTGAGTCCACTAAAATGACCTCCTGGATGGAGGTAAGTTCAGATAAAGTTAGATGGGAGGAGGCAGGCCATAAAAGAGGAAGGAAGGAAGGAAGAGAAGAAGGAAAGAGGAAGATCAGAAGAGAGGAAGGAAAGAAGGAGGGAAGAAAAGGAGGAAGGAAGGAAGGAAAAGCACATTTAAATCTGGAAAGGGAAATACTAGGAGGATATTGAAAATCAACTAAAATCATGAAAAAAATTGGGAAAGATAAAAAGTAAACTCTGTCCTAAATCTCTGAGTACTAGAGAACTTTATGGTGCTGGAGAGTTCCTGAAAGTGTACAGTACACTAAGTGGCATTGATTCCCAAAGAGTTGCCGTTGGATCAAATAAAAGAAAAATCCACTCCATATTATAAATAGTAAACCCAAAGGACATTTTTTTGTACCTGTTAGAAGACATGGGTCAAAAAGCATTTTGTTTGTTTTTTGTTTGTTTTTTTTTTCATTTTAGCTTTGAAAAGCATTTGTATAAATTTATGCTTTAATATCATCCATGGTCCTCAGTGATATTGACTTGGAGAGATCACTAGATTAATTAAGAGTTTTGGGCTTCCCTGGTGGCCCAGTGGTTAAGAATCCACCTGCCAATACAGGGGACAAGGGTTCGAGCCCTAGTCCGGGAAGATCCCACATGCAGTGGGGCAACTAAGCCCGTGTGCCACAACTACCGAACCTGTGCTCTAGAGCCCGTAAGTCACAACTGCTGAGCCCATGTGCCACAACTACTGAGCCCACGCGCCTAGAGCCCGTGCTCCGCAACAAGAGAAGCCGCCACAACGAGAAGCCCATGCACCACAATGAAGATTAGCCCCTGCTCGCCGCAAGTAGAGAAAGCCAGCATGCAGCAACAAAGATCCAACACAGCCAAAAATATAAAATAAAATAACATAAATTAATTAAAAAAAGAAGGAGTTTTACTTCACACAATATTATACTTAAAATGGAATTTCGAAGTCATTTAATGAGAGACCTCACACCGTGCAAAATTGTTTTTACCTCAGGAAAAAAATCCAGTCACTTGCAAGCTCTTATCTAGTCTTTGGCACATTTATATGGATTGGCGAGCTCTCCACTTTATGATGATGGCCATTTCAAAATCGGGTAATATCATTCATAATTTCATATTTTTCTATAATTAATCCTATACAGTAGAGCATCATATTATGAATCATCTCATTTTAATAGTGATGGTCACTTCAGTATTTAAAGACAGCCATTTTGTTAGTGCATATTCTTCATATTTAGGTTAAACATTTCCAGTTCCTTAAACTTGTCATCCAATGAAATACTTTCCAGATCCCTCATTTTTTTGCTTCAGGCTTTAGATGATCTCATTTTAGTTGAAAAATGCACCTCTATTATATACCCAGTACTGCACTCCTGATATTAACTGAAGAATGGACTCATATTTTTATAAATTGGATAATTCTAGGAAGCAAATCTACATGGCCTTTGCTTTATTACTTGTGTATTAGCCATATGTCCTCTCAAATTTGCTTTTGTATCCATAGCAAATATGAACTAATTTAGCTTGATATCAGTGTTACAGTTGCTTTATTTAAAATAAAGTCCTTTTCATTTGATAAACAAGGGAAATAGAGCCAATCATGGCTTTCCAAGATACTAGTGGAGTTGTGGGACTGCATGTGTGTACATGTACTTTTATAGCATGTGAGCGTGAAGGTTTGCATATATGTGAAGTGGTGTGTGCATGCACACAGGCATGCATATAGAGGTGTTCTGCTAGAAGATATTGATTTTTCATGGCTTCTTGTTAAAGAAATTAACAAGTAAAGAGAATCATGATTTATGTGTTGATTTTTGTGATTTTTACATATAAAGTAAAAAAGAGGACAGTAAATGACAAAATGATGCAAAGAAGAGAAAAAATGTTTATGGGTGAGGATATTTTCTTTAGGAATAAGAGAAAAAGAGCAATTCAAGTCTTCTGGAAGGTATAACAGATAAAACTTGTTTTGCAATTGATAACAAAAGCCCTTTTGTTTTTATGGCCTAAGAGATATTGCTTTTAAAATATTCATAGATCTTCTTGAACATGCAGCTTAGAATTTAGGAGTGAAATATTTCTGTAGTACATGTCAATTAGTTTTTCTCCAGTTTTATCTCTTTTGTGTACTCCTGCAAAACAAAAAACAAACAAAAAACTATCTCATTTATATAGATTACCTTATCAAAATTTTGTCACATAAGGAAAAATGAAATTATGTCTTTGTTGTTTGTGTAAGCATTAAAATGTTTTCTTAATTTTTTTAGAATCCCAACCCATAATAAACATGTTTGAGACTATTTAACTAAGAAAATTTCAGATGATGATTATTCACAAGTTACCATGCACTGAACACAATGTTTCTTTTCACTCAATATTTTGAAAATATTATTTAAGCCCTGTCACATAAGAGGAGTTTGCTAGAATTTAGGGAGAAAGCAAATGCATTTATTAGAACGCTATTATGTTTTAGAGTGTTGGTATCAGTTTATAGTAGATTAAATGTAGAATATTCAGTTCCTTAACTGATTTGTCTGGTTTGTAACTTCTCTATGGTGACTTTAACATGCCACTTGCACTACCACTCCTTTGTTGATCCATATATATTTTAATATGAGCTAGATAAATAAAAAGGTAAAGTGTTCCATATGTGGTGTCCCAAATAGTCTCAAGATAAAGTGAAGACTTGGTAGAAATAGATTTTCAGGCCCAGTCCCTTAAGTTTCGGATACAGTAGATCTGGAGTGGTTAGTTCAACCTGAATTTTTTAAGCATGCAGTTGATTCTGATGACAGAGAAAAGAATTAGGAAAACGCTCATGAAAAATTATTCCAAAAACACATATGAAAGACTTTTGCATTATTGCTGTTTGGAATCACCCATACCACTCATCATATCCACTGATACAAATAATCAAATCAACTACATATGATATTTGAACTGACTATATCTTTAAAATTGGAAAGTAACTGCTTCTCTCAAAAATAAAAAATTAGCATTTTACTCAATTCTCCTTTTCTGTGGTGGGGATTCACTCAAAGTATACAATGTATCACATCAAATAATTTATTTTTATTTTCTTATATATTAGTCTTTAGATTAATTATGTTTTTATTTTTTGTTTGCAGGGTGCAAGTTGAATTTTATATGAATGAAAACACATTTAAAGAGAGACTAAAGTTATTTTTTATCAAAAACCAGAGATCAAGTAAGTCTTTAATTTTATTCCCCTGTGTATATATTTGTATATATGTTTACCTTAAAAAATTCCAGCTTTGCAATCCTTTTGCAAAATATCTTTTATAGAGAGAAGTAAAATTGATAGTCTTATCTGCCGGGCATTAAAGTTTAGAAAACAATAGATGTTACATCTGGTGGTGTCAAGTCAAGGTTTCTTGACTATTTTACTTCTCGAAATCCCACATCAGTAAGTAGACTTCTGAGTGGACCATTTGGATTGCTAGGAACATTGAGGAAAATCATTTAAGTGAGGGTTCCCCATATTTTAACTGTGAGGGATACTAAAACTTGTTTTGAGAAGACTCTGGTGATTCCAACTGACCATAATGGGGAATAATTTTCTGGTTTAGTGATTTAGTAGGGAAGAGTTTCCCCATCACACCTAATAACAAGAAACATGTAGGCTGTTCCGAAAGGTACAGATTACTAGCATCCTCCCCTGGAGATTTAAAATCAGAAAGTATAGAGCTAAGCTCAGCATATAACATCTCAGTGATCCTTATCATCAAAAAACCTTGGGAAACGTTGGAACTTCAAGGAGGCATGAAATCAGCATAGTCACTGACCTCCTAAGCCTGTTCAGGGTTGAAGTGCCAGTCATACTTGCCTCCCCCTAGTACCATGTACTTTGAAAAAGCCATAAATAATGAACCAATATGCAGTTTTTTCATGTGATTATTGCTTAAGATGTCAAGAAGCATTGAGAGGTCTACATTAGACTGGTGTAGACTTTGCTCTTTTTGAATTTTGACCTCCTGGGGTGGTCTAAAGTAAGTTGTGCTTCTTTAGAGTTCATAGAGAGAAACTTGAGTTGTGAGCAGTTACCCAAATACTGACTACAGGGAATATTTCAGTCTGTAAGGCACACAGGTTAGAGAATCTTAATGGCTGGTTAGTTTTAGGATTAGGTTAATAATAACTAATGCTTCTCTAATCCAGTTGTTTTGAATTCCCAAGGTGGAATCCCACCAATAGATGTTACCTGGAGAGCCCACATCATTTGCATAGAAGGTTTCCTTTATTTTAAAAATCTTACTAAAAATTTTCTTTCTTCAGACCAGAAGGAATAGATGTATTATTTGAATACTTTAACAACAGCCAGCTTTGACTAAGCTGTCATTTGAAGAGATCAGTTCTATAAAACCAGGGCAATTTCATTAACAGTTTAGAAGACTTTATAAAGAAGCTAAACCATAAGTACCTAGCATTTTAGTAGGAAAACCCAGGAAAAATTGCACAATTAATAAGCATTAACCTTTTACTGTTAAGAAATATTACCTCAGGTACACTCACTTATAGCAGAGTAAAAACAAAATGGCATTTCATTTCCAGATTTTATTGAGAATTAATTATAGGAAGACCTCAAAATTTTATTCACAATCTGTGAATCAGTCCCCACCTGATAATTGCAGGAAAGGTAATGCTTCTATTAATCAGACTTTAAACATGTTTTGCTTAATATTAATTACTCTTCTTCATCATCAAGTATTATAGGCTGCATAACTGTGAACGACAGTTTCAAAGATACATACATGGCAGTCTTAATTCCCACACAATTTTTTTTTAAGATTTCATTGGTATTTAAACCTAAAGTAAAAAGTTGGTGGAGTCTCAAAAATGTGTCTGCGTGTGTGTGTGTGTGTGTCTGTGTGTGTGTGTGTGTGTGCTTGTGTATTTCCCAGCATATGCTATTAGGATTTCTCTATAATTATATAATTACTAATTAAATGTATAATACATAATTATTTACATGATTATAATTTCTCTACAATCAAACCTACAAGGTGCTCAGAAGATACAAGATTTATAACTTATCCTGTGAATTTGTAAGCAGCTAGATTTTCTGGCTAGTTAAAATTTATTCCAAAATTCATGGATCTATAAAATGCTTAAACTTCTAAGCATACTTGAACCAATCTTGATCGGACATGATTTTTGTGGCTTCTGAATGCTCAAATGTAGATTTACTCTTAGTGTATAATATTCACTGTCATTTGCGGTTCATACATTCTGTCATTCTCATTTTTTGTTTCAATACTTAGCCACCTAGAACTTCAGAGTGGGTAAGCAATTATGGTATTGTAGATTCTAAACACAATTTGAGTGCTGTACTTAAAGCTGATATTTTTGACAATTCTTTTTAATCTTTTGTGGACTGAGTTCAAATGAAAATCCAATTTTTGTTGTTTGTTTAAAGGTCTAAGAATACGTCTGTTCAATTTTTCTCTCAAATTATTAAGCTGCTTTTTGTACATAATCCGAGTGCTACTAGAAAACCCTTCACAAGGAAATGAATGGTAAGGTATCTTTGTCTGATTTTCTACAATATTCTTTTGATTAGTTTAAATTGTATTATAAGTTTTGAGGTAAAACTGGTAAAAATAACATTATATTAGTTTCAGGTGTACAACGTAATAATTTGATCTTTGTATACGTGAGAAAGTGATCACCACCATAAGTCTAGTTACCATACGTCACCATACAATCCATCCCCTTTACCCATTTTACCCCATTCTCTTCCTTTTCTTCTGATAACTAGCAATCAATGAGTTTTGTTTTATTAGCATGTTTTGTTTTTTTTATGTTCTACATATAAGTGAAATCATATGGTATTTGTCTTTCTCTGTCTGACTTATTTTACTTAGCATAATGCCCTCTAGGTCCAACCATGTTGTCACAAATGTCAAGATTTCCTTCTTTTTATGGCTGAATAACACATTTCATTGTGGGTGTGTATATATACATACATACCACATCTTCTTTATTCATATATCCATCAATAAACACTTAGGTTGTTTCCATATCTTAGCTATTGTAAACACTACTGCAATGAACATAGGGGTGTGTGTGTATCTTTTTGAATTAGAGTTTTGGGGGATTTTTAGGGGATAAATACCCAGAAGTAGAATAGCTGGATTATATGGTAGTTTTATTTTTAATTTTTTGAGGAACCACCATACTGTTTTCCATAGTGGTTGCACCAACTTACATTCTCACCAATAGTGTAAGAGGATTTCCTTTTCTCTGAAACCTCTTCAACATTTTTTATTTCTTTTCTTTTTAATAATGGCCATTCTAACAGGTGGGAGGTGATATCTCATTGTGATTTTGATTTGCATTTTCCTAATAATTAGTAATGTTGAGAATATTTTCATGTACCAGTTGGACATCTGTATGTCTTCTTTGGAAAAATGTCTATCTGGATCCTATGACCATTTTTATTCCAATTTTTTTTTTTTTTTTTTTTGCTGTTGAGTTGAATGAGTTCTTTAATATTTGGGGTATTAACTCCTTATCAGATATATGATTTGCAAATATTTTTCCCATTTTAGGTTGCCTTTTCATTTTATTGATGGTATCCTTTCCTGTGCAGAAGCTTTTTAGTTTGAAATAGTCCCACTTTTTTATTTTTGCTTTTGTTGCCTTTGCTTTTGGTGTCAGATTCAAAAAATCATCACCAAGGCCTAGGTCAAGGGACTTACCACCTCTGTTTTCTGCTAGGAGTCTTAAGGTTTCAGGTCTTACATTCAAGTCTTTAATCCATTTTGGATTAATTTTTATGTATTGTGTAAGAGAGTGGTCTACTTTCATTTTTTATGTGTGTCCTGTTTCCTCAACACAGTTTATTGAAGAGATTGTCTTTTACCCATTGTATATTCATGGCTCCTTTGTCATTAATTAATTGACCATATATGTGTGCATTTATTTCTGGGCTCTATATTCTGTTTCATTGATCTGTGTATCTTTTTTATGCCAATACCATGCTATTTTGGTTACTATAGCTTTGTAGTATAGTTTGAAATCAAGGAGCATGATTCCTCCAGGTTTGTTCTTCTTTCTCAAGATGCTCGGCTATTCAGAGTCTTTTGTAGTTCCATAGAAATGTGTAAATTGGTTGTTTTAGTACTGTGAAAAATGTCATTGGAATTTTGATAGAGATTGAATTGAATCTGTAGATCACTTTGGGTAGTATGGACATTTAAACAATATTAATTCTTCCACTCCATGAGTACAGAATAGCTTTCCATTTCTTTGTGTCTTATTCAATACCTTTTACCAATGTCTTAGAGCTTTCAGTGTACAGGTCTTTCACCTCCTTGGATAAATTTACTTCTAGGTATTTTATTCTTTCTGATGTAATTGTAAATGAGGTTGTTTTCTTAATTTCTCTTTTTGATATTTCATTATAATTTATAGAAATGCACAGATTTCTGTACAGTCATTCTAGGTATCCAAAGGGAGTTGCTGCCAGGACCCCTGCACAGATACCAAAATCCATGGATGCTCAAGTCCCTTTTAGGAAATGGCACAGTATTTGCGTATAACCCATGAACATCCTTCCATATACTTTATATCATCTCTAAATTGCTTACAATACTGAATATAGTATAAATGCTATGTAAATAGTTGCCAGCATGTAATTCAAGTTTTGATTTTTGGAAATTTCTGGAATTTTTTTCAAATACTTTTTATTTATTTATTTATTTTTTTGCGGTATGCGGGCCTCTCACTGTTGTGGCCTCTCCCGTTGCAGAGCACAGGCTCCAGACGCGCAGGCTCAGCAGCCATGGCTCACGGGCCCAGCCGCTCCACGGCATGTGGGATCTTCCCAGACCGGGGCATGAACCCGCGTCCCCTGCATCGGCAGGCGGACTCTAAACCACTGCACCACCAGGGAAGCCCCTCAAATACTTTTGATCCATGGTTGATTGAATCAACAGATGTAAAACCCATGGATAAGGAGGGTTGACTGTACATTGATTTTCTATCCTGCAACTTTGCTGAATTCATTTATTAGTTCTAATATTTTTTTTGTGTAGTTTTTAGGGTTTGCTATATGTAGTCTTATGTCATCTGCAAATAATTCCAGTTTTACTTCTTTCTTTCCAATTTGGATGATTTTGTTTCTTTTCCTTGCCTAACTGCTGTGGCTAGAACTTCCAATACTATGTTTATAAAAGAGGCAAGAGTAGGCATCCTTGTCTTGTTCCTGATCTTAGAGGGAAAGCTTTCAAATTTTCATTGAGTATGTTGTTAGCTGTAGGTTAGTGTATATGACCTTCATGATGTTGAGGTACATTCCTTCTATACCTACTTAGTTGAGAGTTTTTAATCATAAGTGGATGTTGAATCAAAATTAAACAATGCCTTTTTTGCATCTATTGAGATGATTATATAATTTTCATCTATTTTGTTAATGTGGTTAATGTTTTTTTTTTAAACATCTTTATTGGAGTATAATTGCTTTACAATGGTGTGTTAGTTTCTGCTATATAACAAAGTGAATCAGTTATACGTATACATATATCTCCAAATCCCCTCAACTTGCATCTCCCTCCCACCCTTCCTATCCCACCCCTTGAGGTGGATACAAAGCACTGAGCTGATCTCCCTCTGCGATGCAGCTGCTTCCCACTAGCTATCTATTTTACATTTAGTAGTGTATATATGTCCATGCCACTCTCTCACTTCGTCCCAGCTTACCCTTCCCCCTCCCCGTGTCCTCAAGTCCATTCTCTACATCTGCATCTTTATTCCTGTCCTGCCCCTAGGTTCTTCATAACCTTTTTTTTTTTTTAGATTCCATATATATGTGTTAGCTTAAGGTATTTGTTTTTTCTCTTTCTGACTTACTTCACTCTGTATGACAGACTCTAGGTTCATGCACCTCGCTACAAATAACTCAATTTTGTTTCCTTTTATGGCTGAGTAATATTCCATTGTATATATGTGCCACATCTTCTTTATCCATTCATCTGTCGATGGATACTTAGGTTGCTTCCATGGCCAGGCTGTTGTAAATAGAGCTGCAATGAACATTGAGGCACATGAGTCTTTTTGGATTATAGTTTTCTCAGGGTATATGCCCAGTAGTGGGATTACTGGGTCGTATGGTAGTTCTATTTTTAGTTTTTTGAGGAACCTTCATACTGTTCTCCATAGTGGCTGTATCAGTTTACGTTCCCACGAACAGTGCAAGAGCGTTCCCTTTTCTTCACACCCTCTCCAGCATTTACTGTTTGTAGATTTTTTGATGATGGCCATTCTGACTGCTGTGAGGTGATACCTCATGGTAGTTTTGATTTGCATTTCTCTAATGTTCAGTGATGTTGAGCATTCTTTCATGTGTTTGTTGGCAATCTGTATATCTTCTTTGGAGAAATATCTATTTAGGTCTTCTGCCCATTTTTGGATTGGGTTGTTTGTTTTATTGACATTGAGATGCATGAGCTGCCGGTATATTTTGGAGATTAATCCTTTGTCAGTTGTTTCATCTGCAAATATTATCTCCCATCCTGAGGGTTGTCTTTTCGTCTTCTTTATGGTTTCCTTTGCTGTGCAAAAGCTTTTAAGTTTCATTAGGTCCCATTTGTTTGTTTTTATTTCCAATTCTATAGGAGGTGGGTCAAAAAGGAGCTTGCTATGATTTATGTCATACAGTGTTCTTCCTATGTTTACCTCTAAGAGTTTTATAGTGTCTGGCCTTACATTTAGGTCTTTAATCCATTTTGAGTTTATTTTTGTGTATGGTGTTAGGGAGTGTTCTAATTTCATTCTTTACATGTAGCTGTCCAGTTTTCCCAGCACCACTTATTGAAGTGGCTGTCTTTTCTCCATTGTATATTATTGCCTCCTTTATCAAAAATAAGGTGACCATATGTGTGTGGGTTTATCTCTGGGCTTTGTATCCTGTTCCATTGATCTATATTTCTGTTTTTGTGCCAGTACCATACTGTCTTGATTGTTGTCGCTTTGTAGTATAGTCTGAAGTCAAGGAGCCTGATTCTTCCAGCTCCATTTCTCTTTCTCAAGATTGCTTTGATTATTCAGGGTCTTTTGTGTTTCCATACAAATTGTGATATTTTCTGTTCTCGTTCTGTGAAAAATGCCATTGGTAGTTTGATATGGATTGCATTGAATCTATAGATTACTTTGGGTAGTGTAGTCATTTACAAAATGTTGATTCTTCCAATCCAAGAACATGGTATATCTCTCCATCTGTTTGTTTCATCTTTAATTTCTTTCATCAGTGTCCTATAGTTTTCTGCATACAGGTCTTTTGTCGCCTTAGGTAGTTTTATTCCTGGGTATTTTATTGTTTTTGTTGCAATGGTAAATGCGAGTGTTTCCTTTATTTCTCTTTCAGATTTTTCGTCATTAGTGTATAGGAATGCAAGAGATTTTGTGCATTAATTTTCTATCCTGCTACTTTACCAAATTCATTGATTAGTTCTAGTAGTTTTCTGGTAGCATCTTTAGGATTCTCTCTATATAGTATCATATTATCTGCAAACAG